CCAGCTTGCTGTATGATCCAAGGCCACCAGTTTTCCCCTCTGGGTCTCACTTTCCCAGGCTTCTGAGCGGGTATAACACCCACCCTGGGTGGCTCATGGTCTGCTGAGGGGGACTAAGACGGTAGTCATGATTTGGAAAACATGGAAATCTAGGCAGACTTCCTGCCCATCAGAAAGAGAGTAGTGTAGTCTAGTGGTTAAGCGCTCAGACGATGTTCTTGGAGTGAATGGTTGAGTCCTACCTGGGCTATAGGACAGGGCACTTCCCCCATCTGGGCCTGTTTTCCCTTGTGTGAAATTGGGATATAATAATCCCTTTATCGGATTCTTGGGAAGAATCTATGAGTGCAGGGCTCATTACCCCACACGGCCATGCCCTTTGTGGGTAGCTGCAGCCAGCCCCCAAACTCAGTGTGTGGTTATGGCTCAGCTCCATCAGGACTAAGCGAGTCCAACTACCAGTATTAGCACCGGATGTTTGTAAAGCCGTATGATCTTTCACATCCATTTTCTCTTATTAGGAAAAGCAAACACAGGAATAAGCGTTTCCACTTCATAGCCCATCACTCCACACCAACAAGTGGCTTCAACTAAACCAGTTTAGACCTGTGTTTTTTCCCAACTGTCATTGGTGCTATGATCTTTTTAAGTAGACTTGGCTTAGCCTCAAATACCAGATTCAACAGTTGTGGAAAGGGCTTAGCAAAGCATGAGGTCTCTTCCTGCCTTCCCTTCTTTTCACAGGCCCTACAGTGAAGGGTGAGGTTGGCTGTTGATTGAATTCTCTGAGCTTCCCTCTCCTGGTCCTACCCTGGGGTCCTACGTTATTTGGGTTTTATCGCCAAGTCACAGAAACAACCTCAACTTTTAAACACATTTCTTTTTTTGCGTCAAGTTTTGAAGTGATTTATCCACTCACTCACTTGTACCCATGTTCAGACAGACACCTCCCACCTTCTCTATTATCTGCTCTACCATGTCCATCACCTCACTCAACTCCACCACCATGTCCATCACTTCATTCAACTCCATTACCTCCATCACCTTGACCAACTCACCACTATCTCTGTCACTTCCTCCAAGTCTACCACCTGCATGCACATCTATCAGTTCCACTCCCTCTGTCTCCTCCACCATCACCAACTACACCACATCTTCCATTTTCACCATTCATTACTTTCACAGCTACTTCTGTCACCCCACCACCTTCACCTCCTTTGCTTCCACTATCACCTCTCCCACCTCCACCTTCACCATCTCTGTCACCTTCTCCACCACTTCCTTGCACAGATCCATAAAGTTTATTAAGAGCTTGTCCATGTAACACAAATTCTGCTATAAATTTTCTACACAAGTACTTCTCTACAAAAGGCTGGAGGCTTAAGGACTCTGTGGCGGTTCAGAGATGAAAAGGTCCTTTAAAGGATCGAATTCCATTTTCAACTTAGAGAAACTGAGTTACACCTTATGCCTTGAAAGTGTGCATAATCTAATTCTATAGTGTGGCATTTAAATGATAAAAGCAAACTGAAAAAAGCAAACATGGTTAAGTGTATGAAAGTTCTCACTTGGTAAGTGAGAAGACACTATTGAGGATTTTTCATTGGGGCGCCTGGGTGGCTCAGTCGGTTAAGTGTCCGACTTCGGCTCAGTCATGATCTCATGGTTTGTCGGTTCCAGCCCTGCACTGGGCTCTGTGCTGACAGCCAGCTCAGAGCCTGGAGCCTGCTTCGGAATCTTGGTCTCCCTCTCTTTCTGACCCTCCCTGCTCACGCTGCCTCTCTGTCTCTCTGTCTCTCTCTCTCAGAAATAAATTTTAAAAAATAATTTAAAAAAAGATTTTTTGTAATGATAGGTAAAAAAGGAGTTTAAGGTCTTCAGAGCCTTTCCACATCACCTAACTGAAATTCATTCATTCCTGTCTTTGGAGTGTGTGCATTAAACACCTTTTTTTTTTTTTTTAAATATTTTTATTTATTTCTAGGAGATAAAGAGAGAGAGAGAGAGAGAGACAGCGTGAGCAGGGGAGGGTCAGAGAGAGAGGGAGTCACAGACTGAAACAGGCTCCAGGCTCTGAGCTGGCAGTCAGCACAGAGCCCAACGCGGGGCTCAAACCCACGAACCGCGAGATCATGGCCTAAGTGAAAGTCGGATGCTTAACCGACTAAGCCACCCAGGCACCCCAATAAGCGAGCCCCGCAGCAACCACGAAGGGATGCACTAAACACCTTTTGTGTGCCAGGCACCAAGTGACTCAGGTAACTGGCTCAAATCAGACCTTCACACATACATTTTTCATATATTTTTAGTGAGCACGTAATATGCACCGGGAGTTCTACTAGGTACAGACCCCTAGATATCCAGAAACCTACTAACTTTCCAATAATGTATTAATAAGGAGACAGAAGTCAGAGGATGTCTTTTCTCTACTCCTGGGTGCCCCAGGCAGTACATCTGGCCAAAAAAAAATGGGGTGGGTTATCCAGGGCAATGTTTCTCCAACTGCACTGTGTGTACAGATCATCCGGAGATCTTGTTAAAATGCAGATTCTGGTTCAGTAGGTCTAGGGCAGAACCTGAGCTTCTGCCTCTCTGAGAAGCACCCAAGTGCTGCTGCCGTCGCCGCTCCATGGACCATGCTCATGGCAGTCAAGTGTTTCATCTATGCAGTGAAAACATACAGTCATCTGGGACTACCTGGACCAAAGGCTAGATCGCAGGTATCTAGGTTCAGGGAGACAAAGCCCAAGTTGTAAAATGCCTTGTGTCCATTTGGAATTCTGCCTCATTGCAAGCAAGGTCCCAACACAGGTGATCAAAAGCACAAAAATTCTAGCCTCCACCATCTTCAGTCCCAGAAAACCAAACTGATCCTGAACAGTAGTATGAACCTCTGTCTTGGTCCCTATTCCTGTGGACAAGAGATATTTTTTGAAGACCTACTAAGTGGTGGGCTCTATCATAGAGGCCAGGGTTGCAGTGGTGAGCAGGGCAGACATATCCCTGCCCTGGAGTCAACATCCTGGCAAGGGGCCTTTCTTCCCTATTTGATGGACAGGAAGGAATGATGATACTAGTGGGAATTGGGTATGTTCCATGTTCCTCCCCCAATTTCCACATAGTAGATACTTTGGCAAAATTGCCAAAATGAATAGAGACACCCCCCCGCCTCCCAAGCACATATACCTCCTGCCACCCTTCCCACAGAGTGTTGGAATTGCTAGAAGCCCACACCCTGGGCTTAGTAAACTCACACAGTAGTAGACCCACAACCAGACTATTAAATGACCAAGCCATACCTTGAGGTGGGGTCTGGAGATACAGACGAAGAGCAGCAAGGGCAAGAACAGAGGCAGGAAATCTCATGTTAGCAATTTACTCAGTTTCTTCAAATGTAAACTGGGAATAATTTTGAATTTTTTAATGTTTAGTTTTGAGGCGGGGGGGGTGAGTAGAGAGAAAGAGACAGAATCCAAAGGAGGCTCCAGGCTCTGAGCTGTCAGCACAGAGCTCGACGCAGGGCTCAAACTCACAAACCATGAGATCATAACCTGAGCCGAAGTCAGACGCTCAACCAACTGAGCCACCCAGGTGTCGCATGGTAAGAATTTTGATACCAGCTTCCCAAGGCTGCAATGAAGCTTAAATGAGTAAATATGCACGTACAGAGTTTAGCACTATGCCAGGCAAACAGCAGGTGCTTCATAAATGTATACAGCCAGTTATACATGGAAGCCATGGTCCTTGCCCTCAGCTCTCAATGGCTGATGTAAGGAAGCTCTTAGAATTGTATTCAAGCACCTCTGGGGAACCTGGCTGGCTCAGTCAGTGGCGTATGTGACTCTTGATCTCAGCATCATGAGTTCCACCCCACATTGGGCACAGAGATTACTTAGGAAAAAAAAAAAAGCACCTCTCATTTTGGCCAGCTGTCTGTTTCTTTGCCAAGCCCACCCCTGTTGGCTCCTCCAACAGGCTATGCCTTTTCACACCTCCTAAGTCTTTGCTCAAGCCATTTCCTCTACCTGAAAGGCATGGCCTTTCCTTTGCTTGAACCCTCTCTGCTTGACCTCCCACAAGCCCCTGTGCAGTCCTGTCCACATCCCAGCGGTTGTGCTGGGAAGTAGAGCTATCTGCTTATGTTTGCCCGACCACTCAGACCAGGTCCTCAGGGTGAAGGCTTGGCCCAAGTCGTCCATATCACCTGGCGCCAGGCCTGAGTCCCAGGGAGGTGCTGGCTGGTGTGCGCCGGGCGAACAGAAAGGCTCACAAGGCTCTTTGCAACCAGGTCTTCCTTTCAAGGTCAGCAACTCAGGAAGGCTTTTCTTGATCACCCATACTGCACACAAGTGGTTCTCAAACTTCAGGTTGCATCAAGAAGACCTGAAGAGTTTGTTAAACACAGGATTTCTGATTCAGAAAGCCAGGGTGGGGTTGGGGAGCGATCCTGAAAATTTGCCTTTCTAACAATTCCGAAGCTGATCACACACTTTTGAGAGTCAGTGTTCTGCCCCACTACCCTGGTTTATCTCCTTCAAGGCACTTATCACTCTCTAAAATAATATTTGTTGGTTATTTGTCTTGTTTCTCCACTGATCTCCCATCGAAGCTCCATGAGGGTAAGAACCGGGAGCTGTCCTGTTCTGATCTCGGCATAGCGCTCGCCGCAGAACTGAATGCATACCCCAGGTTGAAATGAAAGAGATGGTCCGTTGGACGAGAGGACTATGGGGTCTCAAGAAGCCCAGTCTCTTGCTCCCCCCCCCCCACAGGAACTGATTCTGGTCCCTTGAACGTCGCGCGGCCCCCGGAGTCGCCACGGCCCCTTTAAATCGGCGCGGGGACGCCTCGCCCCCTGTCTCCTTCGATCCCTGACAGAGCAGAAAGGGAGGGGAAAAAAAAAGCCATCCTCTTGGAGAGCGGGAGGAAACGTCTAGGAGGGGGGCGGAGGCGCGGCGGCGGCAGAGGCACGGCGGCCAGAGCGCAGCGCCCCCGGTGCCAAGCCCGGACCCGGAGCGGACGCGACGCCGCGCGCTGCCCCGGCCGCCGCCCCACGCGCAGCGCACTCGGGCCCCCTGCTCTCTCCAGTCCGCGTCCAGCGCGGCCCCGCCCCCGGAGGCTCGCGCCCCGCGCCCGCACTTACCCTGCGCTCCGCGCGGAATCTCGAGTGAACGCGACGCCGCGCGCAGTCCCGGCCCCCGCCCCGCGCGCCGGGTGCTCGCGCCCCCTCCCTTTCCCTCCCTTCTCGGCCCCGCCCAGCCTGGAGGCTCGCGCCCCGCGCCCCCACTTGCCCTGCGCGACGCGCGGAGTCCGGCGCGCGCCGAGGGTGGGGGGCGGGGCAGGCGCCTGGGAGTGCGGGCCCCGCGGGGTGGCCATGGAGTGAGGCGGTGCGCGGACTATCGCTGGGACTGACGACTGACTGACCGACGGGCGGCCCCCGGCTGCGCGTGCTGGAAAATGAACAGAGCAGGTAGGAGGCTCGCCCGACCTTGGGCGCCGAGGGACGCGCGCAAGGGGACCGCGCCAGGCGCTCCAAGTTGGCGCCCACGGGGGCCCCTGGAGCTAGCCGCCGAAAATCCCGCGACCTTCCCACTGTGCTCGGGTGCGGCTGAGATTTGGGCGGGTTGGAGTCCCTTCGCCGAGGAGGCTGAGAATCCTCGGGGGCCCCAGTCCGAGACGCCCCGCCTCAGGGACGCTCCCTCCGTCTCGGCGAGGCCGCACCCTGGCGGTGTACGCCGGCATCCCGCTCCCACCGCGACCCCGGCGTGGGGGACGGCTTGGCAACCGAGGAATGCTCCCTTCGCTAGGGGGACTTGATTGCGTCCCGGAATCCCCACTCCGGCTCCTCTGGGTCCACGCCAGACCCTCGCTGGCCCCTCGGAGATCCCTCCGGGGCCCCGGGATCCTCCCGAAGCGCTTTGCCACCCCGGGGTCTAGTCCTGCTCCATTAGTACCTGGCGGCGCACTCTTAGGACTATTCCTGCTCCCTCCTATCTCTTAGACCCCGAGACTTAGAGCTCACTCTCGGGATGAGACTAGAAAACCTTACATTACTGTTCCCCCGCCTCCCCCTCGCAGCGCACCCTCCTTCGCCGCTCCCTGGCCCAGGGCCCTCTTTGTGCCTCCCCTACGGGGACCACACGCCACGGGGACGCTCCTCGCCGCTGAGGCTGAGCCGCACTCTAGACGTTTCCTCCCGTCCTTCGAGTCCGACTGTACCAGCTCAGGGATTCCGGGAAATCCAGAATGCGTTTGATAGTAAATATAAGCGATCCCTTCCGAGGAGTGCCATTTAACAGATTTAGTAACTGAGACTCCGATGGGGCCATGCCAGGAAGCCGTCTCCGGATTCCTGACTCGATCCACCCAGAGGGCAGAAAGTTCCCTGAAGAGGCGAGTTTGCAGGGCAACCATCTCCGCTAACTTCATTTCCCTGCCAAGGAGTGAGAGTCACTCTTTTTTTCTTTTTCTCTTAAAATTTAGCAGAAGGCAGCCCTCTCTCCGACCAACACCCTTGTCCGAAGCCATACTCCAAAACACACATCCCTAAAGAAACAGGAAGCCACCATTTTGGCCGTCTTAGAACCATATCCTGCTGCCTTGTATGTGTGTGTTGTGGCTTTTTCTTTTTAAAGACTTTTTAATGAAAAAAGTCATTGTCTGGGAGGTGCAGAGGGGAGACATTGGCTGGACTGATTTGACAAAGGAGACACTCGGGGACTCGGGAATGTGGTACCTTTCTTCCTGTGGCCAGGCCCTGGTGTTGCTGGACATGTGGATACCTGGACAGTGAGGCGTGGGGCAGAAGAGGGGTTGGTGGGTGGAGGGGTGCCACTCTGGGAGTGGAAGAGGCTGGAGCAGGGTCCCCATGCTCAGTTAGGCACTCCTTGGAGGAAGAAGGTGGCCTTCCTCCCTGCTTCTGGCACAGCCTGAACAGAGCCGGGCAAGCTAGCTTTTTCCTATGCTCCTAATAAAACCCACTTTAAAACAATGGTGAGAGCAGTTCCAGTTTTCCCACGTTTCCCTGCTTGAGGCTTGGGCAAGCCCTCCCTTCTCTGGGGGTGAAGTGAGCAGGAATAAACTTAGAGGCAGGCTTGGTCCCAGGAAATCTTAGTGGTTGCTGCTTTTGGGTTTAGCCATCCTGGAACTTACCTCCAGCATATACCTGGTTACTTTTTCAGTGTGATGGCAAGGCTGAAAACCTCCCATATTGATTTCTGTATGCCATGCTCTGAATTTCCTGATCACGTAACATAATGGTTTGCAGACTCCATGGGACTGAATTTCAGAACCACTATATACACAGTTATGTGATCTTGAGGAGGTTACTTAACCTCAGTGCCTCAGTTTCCTCATCTGAAAAATGGAGATGGTACGATTGTGGCCATTGGGTTCTCATGATTAAAGAAAGCTCATAAGGTATCTGGAACAGTGCCTGTCATATGGTGAGCTACTAATGAATAGTGGTTAACATTTATTGATCACTTACTATGAACTAGGTGCTGCTTTTAAGTGTTTTACTTTTATCAATTCAGTTTTCACAGTAACCTTATGAAGTGAGTACTCTTGCTATCCCCATTTTATAGGTGGGAAAACTGAGCTTCAGGGATTTTATGGTCACTGAGCCAAGATAGGATTGAAACACAGACTGTCCAGCTTGAGAGCCTACTTTTTTATGCAGTGCTGAACACAGTAGGTAGGTGTACAAGAAATGATAGCCAATTGAGTTTGTTATGTGTCTTCTATTATTTACTTTGAACTTCTCAACAGCCTTATAGAAAAAGGAGGTATTTATTTCATTTTACCAAGAAAGAAACTGAGGTTCAGGGAGGCAAAGTGACATGCCCAAGATGACACAGCTGATATGTACCAGAGCTGGGATTGGAGCTCAGGTCTGTCTGAGCCTGGGGCCCATGCTTTTCCAACTTTGTCCCGTGCAGTATGTACCCTGTTGTGGATCACTGGACTAGCTTAACAGCAGCCTAATTAGAAATCATCAGGTTTGGACATTCCAGCAGGCACCCAGGAATGAAAGTTAAATTAAGATGCAATTGGAAGGTGAAATTGGAAGATAATTACTCTTGGAACATATGGCTATGAGAGTTCCAGGTGGAATATAGTGAACTGCAGTTGAAACAAACTCGGACTGAAGAAGGAGATATCAGGGGACACCAGAAGAAGTCCCATGTGTTTAAAATGCTGTAGTTGGCCAGAGCAGAAGGCACTTTACTGACTGGTGCAGTGCTTTTGCACTACAGGTGGGGAAACTGAGGCTCAGCAAAGGGAAGAGACTTGCTCAAGGACACACCTCCAATTAATGGCAGAGCCAAGAGTGGAGATCAGAGCTCTTGACTCCCAGTCCAGTGCTCCTCCCAATACCCCCTCTTGTTTAACCTCTGTATAGCTGACAAGGGAGCAGCAGCATGAATGTGTGAGTGACAGATACTTAATTAAAATAGAAAAAATATAAACTAGTAATGGGGGCTGGCTAGATGATTTCTATCACCAGAAGCCATTAAAAATCTCTTCCTTCTGTCATTGGGGTTCCCCCACCATCAGTTAACTCTTGGCATCTTGGCTCAAAGGGCATTCTGCATTCGAGTAATGTTCACACATAGCAAATTGCGAAGCGGTGTTACCACTGGGCTTAGTGATACTGAGAAAGGGAGGGCTCCCACAGCAGCCAGAGGGACTCATGAGGCAGCAGAGGGTCTGCCAGCTCCACCCATGCTGGGTTCTAGTTAGTCAGAAAGACGAACTTCACCCGGAGGAGGAAGCCCCAGCTCTGATTTGTCCTGCAGTCCCCCCATCCCTGCCATACTGGACTCTTTACCGTACTCCCAAAGGACTTGCCACCTCTGGGGCTCTGCACATTCTGTTCCCTGTGTCTGGCATACTCAGCATCTTCTTTGATTATGAAAATCCTCCCTGTTCTTCCACACGCACCCCAGTGCTATCTCTTCTGTGGGTCCTTCTCTAGGCAGAATTGGTCTAGGACCCAGATAACCTTGTGCCGAGGGCCAGAGGGCCAGTGCTGTCAGGTTCCGTCTTGTAAGAGGGGCAGGAGGGAGCTGAGCTGAAGCTCTCACACAGTCTTCATTTTCTTCCCTTCTTCCCCAGTGTCTTTCCCTGGCTCCTCCTCATGCCAGGGCTCCCTCCTTGGCCCCACTCTTTGCTTTGTTCACACTCATTCTCTTGGTGATGTCACCAGGCCCATGCCTTAAATTCCATCTCTGTGCTGGATACCTCCAGCCAGACCTCTCCCGAGAGCCCAGACGGGTATAGCTAGGAGTCCACTAGATATCTGTCTCCACCTAGGTGTGGGGTAGGTCACTCAGATTTAACACACGCAAACTAAAATTCTGGCTTTCCCTCCCCACCACCTACAGCCTTCCACAGTTCAGTTGGTGACAACTTCATTTTTCCAGTTCCTCTGACTCAAAACTTTGGTGTTGTCCTTGACTTTGCTCCTTCTCTTACACTCCATATTCAACCAGCCAGCAAATCCTGCCAGCTCTACCTTCAGATGTGGAATCTGACTCTTCTTGACCCCTTCCACTGCTGCCAACCTGGTCCAAGCCTCCACTGTCTCGTCTCTTGCCTGGATTATGGCAAGAGCCTCCTCTTGGATGTCCCTGGATCCATCCTCACCACTTCTGCTTCCCTCACCACATTAGCCAGGGTATGCATGTCCTTCTTCTGCTTTGTCTGTAGAGTTTATGATCATCTAATATACAATAACATACTTCTGCTTTTTATTGCTTATCTCCTCCACTAGAATATAAAGGTTCATGAGGGACAGGCTCTTTGCTTTGTTTATTGATGTGTCCAGAGATTCTAGATGGGTGCCCAGCACATAGAAGGTGCTCAATAAATATCTGTTTAATGGAATTGGATTAATAGAAATTGGATGAGAACAAATGGGAGCAAGTCATTCACCTTATGGTCAGTTAGTACTTCTGAGTTCCGGACTCAGCCTTTTGTAAAGTTCACAACTGACTAGCTGTCTCTGGTCTCTCTGGCCTCAGTTTTTCTGGATTTTACTATTCTCTGCCTCACTAGAAGCTGGGAGCCCTGAGTCTCCACTATAGAAGGAAGCTCAGTGGCAAAAGGGTAAAGGCAGAGGTTCAAGCAGCTGGACCAGGAAGCAAGAAACCCACATTCTCCCTGGGCCCTGCTCCAGACTTGCTGAGAACAGTATGCCTCGCCTCTATGTGCCTCAGTTTCCCTATCTATTACTGAAGGGTCAGACAAAGCCTTTCTGATTCTGACATCCTTTGATCCCAGAGAGGATGCAGGTGAAACACTTTGAACCTCAGAACTGGAAGCAGGATATGGACGCTAAATGCTTGTCATTCCTAAGGGATCCTGTGGGGAAGGCATTTTCTTGCAGGATCATGCCTCAGACACCCACTGTAACCTTTCTCGAGGAGACAGCGCCCACAGATCAATAGCTTGATTGGATGAAGGATGGGGTGGGGGTGGGGAGGATGCAACCAAGGTGATGGTCGTTTTTCATGGCCCATCTGTCCCTCTGTCAGGTCTCTTGGTGCTTGTGTAAAATACCACCTGTTAAGGATGAGAAATGAGAGTCCCCACCCCCAAAGAGTAATTTCATGCCAATGCCTGACACCTGATATTGGAAACTTGAAGCTAATATTATATATCAGTGTAGAGCAAGACTTATACCAGGGGAAGATGTGGGGTAGGCAAAGACTGACATTATTAGAATAACAAATTGCTACTATTTATTGACTACTTCTACTTGAGGGCCTACTGCTGGGCACTTTTAATAAATTATATATATTTTAATAGTCATAACCTCTTGAGAGTAGGTGTTACTGTTGTACCCATTTTACAGATGATGAAACTGAGGCTTAGTTTCATAGCTTGTAAGTAGCAAAGCCAGAACTTGAACCCAGATCAGCCAGGCTCCAAAGCCTCACTGTTACTCCACAGTGACAGGTTAACTAAAACTTAACTGTTTAAAATCCACATAGTTGGGTGGGTTTTGTTGGTGGGGGTGGGCGTGGAGATGGAGGTGGTGGTGCGTGTGTGTTTTAACTAATTTGGACAGATATTTTTCTGAATTAGGACATATTTGCTTATGGAAACGAGTTGGAAGGCCACTTCTGTCTTGAACACTCTGGGTTATCATCTGGATGTCCGTGTCTGGCCTCGGTGTTGAGGCGGATGAATGTAGGTGTGGGATAAGGTGTTGATGCAGGGGGTGCTTTGGCCTTTTGAGTCTTGACAGCTGTGTCTCTTCTCTCCCCTCCCCTCCTTGCTGGCGGCTACCATATCTCACACCTGGCAGTGTTCCTGTTCTAACCCCCAGTCCCTACCCCTCCTCATTAGCTGTACGCTCAGAAACCAGACCACTGAGTTCATTAGACTTATGTGCACAGTGCAACTCAAGAGACTGAAATCTGGCCCTTTCAGGAACACGGTTCATGGCCACCTATATTCTTGCTACTCTGGGCCTTTTTAATTTCCTTTGGGGCCTCCTCAGCTAAGTTTTACATGGTTCTGCCCATTTAGGGGAGATACTGACTTTGGCTTGAGGTGCCAGTGGAACAGCCCCGTGGAGGTGAGTTAAAACCAGCCAGTGCTGTGCTGGCCAGCACGATAGCCACCACCCACATGTTGCTCCTGAGCAGTTGAAATGCAGCTACTCTGAATTGCAGTGTGCTGAAAAGTGTAAAATACACATTGGATTTCAAGGACTTAGTACAAAAAGGAATGTCAAATATTTCCTTAATTTAAATTTTGTATATTGATGACCTGTTGATCCAAACATGATTTATTGATTACATGATGATATCAAAATGATAATATGTCAAATATATTGAATTAAAAAAGTATTGTTAAAATTAATTTCACTTGTTTCTTTTTTACTTCTTTAAAGGGTATATATATGTATGTATATATATATGTGTGTGTGTATATATATATATATATATGTAGTGAGAGCATGCATGCAGGGCAAAGGGAGAAAGAATCTTTTTTTTTTTTAAAGTTTATTTCTGAAAGAGAGAGACACACACAGTGCAAGTAGGGGAGGGACAGAGGGAGAGGGAGACACAGAATCCAAAGCAGGCTCCAGGCTCTGAACTGTCAACACAGAGCCTGATGCGGGGCTCAAATCCACGAGATGTGAGATTATGACTGAGCCAAAGTTGGCTGCTTAACCAACTGAGCTACCCAGGTGCCCTGGGAGAGAGAGAGAATCTTAACCAGGCTCCACACCCAGTGCAGAGCTAACGTGGGGCTCTATCCCACGATGTAAGATAGTGGCCTTAGCCAAAATTGAGTAGGACACAACTGACTGAGCCACCCAGGTGTCCCAGAGGTGTCTCTCTCTCTCTCTCTTTTTTTAAGTAGGCTTCATGCCCAGCACAGAGCCCACGGTGATCTCACTGCCCTGAGATCAAGACCTGAACTGAGATTAAGATTTGGAAGTTGGGGCACCTGGGTGGCTCAGTCTGTTAAGCATCTGACTCTTAGTCTCAGCTCAAGTCATGATTTCATGGTTCGTGAGTTTGAACCTCACATGGGGCTCTGTGCTGACAGCGTGGAGCCTGCTTGAGATTCTCTGTCTTCTCTCTCTCTCTCTCTCTATCTCTCTCTCTTCCCTTTCCCACTTGCCTTCTATCTATCTAAAAATAAATAAATAAATAAACAAACAAAAAAAGAGTTGGATGCTTAACTGAACCACCCAGGTGCCCCCTCTCTTTTACTTTTTAATGTGGCTATGAGAAAAATAAACATTACATATGTGATGGTAAATGTGGTTCATGTTTCATTTCTGCCAGGTAGCGCTGGACTACAAATGACTGGGGTTAGGGGCTGCAAGGGTTTAACTGGGAGTCAGATGCATGGGGAGAAGAGTTTGCTGACAAACCTCCGGGAACTCTGCTTCATCTCCCTTCTGTCATGAGCCAGGCTGGCATTCTGAAGCTGCTCTGTGTAAACCCAGGCCTTAGTGGGGATGGCACTGGGCGATAGGGTGAGGCTTAAGGGGAGACTTGTATGTCCTCATCGATGGGCACTGGGGAGCCAGGCGCTGCATTTGAAGCCAAGATGTCAGGATGGAGTTGCCTTCCTGGAAATCTTCATTCATCACACTGCCCACAGTGTGGCTAGGGGCTTGGAGGCATCGAAGCAGTTTTGTGGCAGGACGGGTGAACTTGGAAGTGGGCAGCTACTCCCTTAACTTTTGCATTTGTCCAGGTCCCTCTCATTCTGCAAAATACAGCTTTAATTTCACCAGGAGGTCTTCCTTCGTCACGGAAACTCTTGCTTCTCTGACTCCTGTTGGATGTACAGTTTGTGCCACATCCTTTATGAATTGACATGGTCAAATAGATCCTCCAAATCCACAAGGGAAGAGACTGTTTGCAAATATATATGTTGGAAAATACCATTTAGTTTCTCCCATGAAATTTGGATGCCCATGAAATTTAGATGCAGGGCACTTAGGTAGATACCAGTCTTGAAGCACGTAGAATTCAGAGGTGACCCTTAGAAGAATCATGCATCACTGTCACAAACCTTTGGTGTATCATTCTTGAGGGAATGAGATAATGGCTATTCAGTCATAATATTCCCAAGGTCTGCAGCTCTGTCCTCCAGTTGTCCTGCCAGTCTTGTCTCCCTGACTCAACCGCAAGTCCTCAGCAGAGGTACTCTTCTTGTCTTAACTTTAGAAGACCTTCCTGTGTACAGTGCTATGCATATAGATAGTAGGTATCCAGTGAATTAACTGTAGAATGAATGTAAGCTCCATGCAGGTGGAGGTATGGTGACTGTCAAGTTCAGCATTATCTCACGAGTGCCTAGCACCTAGGAAGCATTTTTTTTTAATGTCTCTTTCTGAGAGAGAGAGAGAGAGAGAGGAGAGAGAGCATGTGAGTAAGGGAGGGGACAGAGGATCCAAAGCAGGCTCTGCGCTGACAGCACAGATTCCAATGCAGGGCCCAAAGTCACAAACTCTGAGATCCTGACCTGAGCTAAAGTCGGACACTCAGCCAACTGAGCCACCCAGGTGCCCCTAGAAAGCATTTAATGCATAGTTGTTGGATGAATGATTACAGTGATCTGGACATCTTTATTTGAGAGTATGTCTTTGAGTTGGGTTTTGGTAGCTGGACTATATGTAGAAGAAAGATCTGTTCACTTTGTTTACAGAATGAACTATCAGTGGAGGTCAAGGGATTTTAAGGATGATGGAGGAGGGCATAAACCTACGACAGAACATAGCAGAGTGGGCTCACATAGGTTGGATCACTATCTTCAGTGTCCATTTAAAAATGCAAGTAGGAGACTCTGAATGGAAATAAGGCTTAACTGTACTTTTCTCCTTCTTTTCATCCTTTAGATTCACCAAAACCACCAGTTGCTCCCAAGCCAAAGACTACCAGTCCCCTCACACCAGTGACAGCACCCAAATTCCCTTCATCACCCCGGCCTGATAGTTTTCCCAGTCCCAACTCCATGTCTAGGGGCCCGAAACCCCCCATTGCCCCTAAGCCCAGGCTGGCGACCCCCAGCGAGTGGAGAGCCAGCGTGTACATGATCAACAGTTTGAACAAATGCAGCAACGGGAGGCTGCCCTGCACTGACAGGGGGCCTTACGAAGAGCAGCAGTCCACCTTGGAGTGCTCAGAGTCTGAGGCTGATGAGGATTACATTGTGGTCCCCAGGGCTCCGCCCAAAGAGGAGGAACCCAAGGACAGCAGCTCAGCAGAGAGTGCAGTCGCCCCTCCAGATGCGGATGCGGATGTGGATGCCACTGGAGAAGAGGAGTGCGGGGAGGGAGGCAGGGAGAGTGACCCGGAGGGGACTGGAACAGTGCTGAGTGGAGAGGCTGATGGAGGCAGAGCCCCAACTCCTGAGAATGTGGAAGAGGACAGTGCCTGTGAACCTGGGGCAGAGGAGCGGACGTCATCCTCGACAAATGAGGAGGAAGAGAAGCGAGTGGAAGAGCACAACGTATACAACCTGGAGGAGAGGGGACCTTGGGACGGAGAGGCAGTCCTTCCTTGCGATATCATTCTCACTCACGTTGATTTAGAGGGTCCAGCAACTCCCAGCGAGGAGCCTGAGTCCCCTGGGATGCCCAGGGAGGCAGAGGAGGGTGGTGAGGAAGTCTCCACCAACACAGAATATGGGGCTCCGGAAGAATGTGTGGATTCCGACAGGCCCTCTGAGGGGGATGCTGACGATGCCAGCAAGGAACCCACTGAGAATGAGGACTTGGCCACAGGGGTCCAGGAGGCGGAGACAGCCACAGGTAGCCCTGAAATCTCCGAGGAGTGTGAGTGTGAAGATGCCACAGCCAGCAGGGATTGTGGGGACCAGGATGAGCCATGTGACCTGAACCAGAAAACTGACCAAGAAGGAATGACTACGATCACCCAGGAGGTGGGAGACGAACCTCTAGAAGGCAGAGACCTGGTGCAGGACGAACCTGCTGAGGAGAGCTGCCAGATCATTCCTTTCGAGAGTGATGGTGCTGACGACTTTGTGACTCCTCTCTCAGGAAGTCCCTACGAGTTCTTTCTGACTGAGAGCACCTCTTTCTGTAGCGAGAGCTACTCTTCTTCTTCAAAGTCCACAAAGGGCGTAGAGTCCAAGCAGGAACCACAGTCAGGAGAATGTGCAGAGCAGGGCCCTGCTGCTGGAGCTTCGTGTGGCTCCGGGGAGGGCCCCTCTGTCCCTGATGTAGTGATTATGCCAGAGGATGAGGATGCTGAGGATGATGCGCTCACCAATCCCTATGAGATGGGAGTTGACCTGGAGCGTGAGGCTGACCCTGGGGAAGGAGAGGGGCTGGAGACACAGGCTGCATGTGACACACTGAGTGGTTACAGCACAAAAGAAGAAACGAATTCTGATGCTGAGGGTGGCCTGGTCCCCATTGACAGGAAGAACATCATCACGAGGGCCAGGCCCCACTCCGGGAAGGTGGCTGGCTGTGTCCCAGAAACCGTTCCAGAAGAAACTGGACCAGAAGCTGGCCCATCAGCCATTGGCATTAGAGGTGCCACCAAGGAGGCAAGAAAGACGGTTCTGTCGTTGGAGGGGAAACCACTGGAAGCCAGCAGGGCCTTGCCAGCAAAGCCCAGAGCCTTCACTTTGTACCCCCGATCATTCTCCGTGGAAGGCCGGGAGATTCCCATCTCCTTGTACCGGGAGTCGGAGGCATCTGGCTTGGACGACCATAGGATCAAAAGGAAAGATGACAACCTTTCCCTGCCCTGTGTGATCGGCTCCTCTGGGAGTTTCTCCCAGAGGAACCACCTTCCATCCAGCGGCACCTCGACACCCTCTTCTGTGGTTGACATCCCACCCCCTTTCGACCTGGCCTGCATCACCAAGAAGCCCATCACCAAGAGCTCTCCCTCCCTGCTGATCGAGAACGAGCCCTCGGACAAGCATACTAAGAAGAAGAAGTCTTCCTTCAAGCGGTTCCTGGCGCTGACGTTTAAAAAGAAGTCTGAGAACAAAGTGCATGTGGACGTCAATGTGTCTTCCTCCAGGTCCTCTTCAGAATCCAGCTACCATGGGCCGGCCAGGCTTCTAGAAATCGACCGCAGGAGCCTCAGCAACTCCCCGCAGCTGAAGGCTCGGACTGGCAAGCTCCGGGCTTCTGAATCCCCTTCCTCCCTTATCTTCTACAGGGATGGCAAGAGGAAAGGCGTCCCCTTCAGCAGGACAGTGTCCAGAGTGGAGTCCTTTGAAGACCGCTCTCGGCCCCCTTTTCTGCCCTTGCCCCTGACCAAGCCGCGGTCCATCTCGTTCCCTAACGCTGACACTTCAGACTACGAGAACATTCCAGCCATGAACTCGGACTATGAAAACATCCAGATTCCACCCCGAAGGCCTGCGAGGGCTGGGACATTTACGAAGCTGTTTGAAGAGCAGAGCAGAGCCCTGTCCACAGCAAATGAAAATGATGGCTATGTGGACATGAGCAGCTTCAATGCCTTTGAGAGCAAACAGCAGAGCGCAGACCGAGAAGCAGAAAGGTACTGTGACAGCATATTTTCTTTGTTGTCGGGTGAGTCCAAGAGGCAGGCTTTTAGGTGTAGGGGACAGAGTGGGCCTTCTTTTTAGCCTCAGGCTCTATTTATTTCTAGCTCTGTGAATTGGGGTGAGTAGCTTTCTCTCTCTGAACCTCAGTTAACTGCATCTGAGAAATGGGTTTCATGCTACCTTGTGGCAGAGTGAGATCAGAGTTGATCATCTGTGTGAAAGTATTGTCTAAAATGCCAAATACAGTGGAAATGTGAGCATTTCCATTATTCAAGAGACATTTCTTATGTAGATGGGAAAGATGGGTTTGCTAGTCCCCTCCAGGAAAGTCACCAACAGGGAAGGTTCTGGAATCTTGCCAAACTAAATATCTTTCACCATCAGGAAAATACCCTAAATTGAGATTGATACCCTTTTACTGTGTAAATATACACTCTATTCAAGGGAACTAGAAAAGACAATCTATTTAAATTGTTTAAAGAGCTAAGGGCGCCCTGAGCTAAATTTCTGAATAGAAGCCTTTTAAGAGGTATACCCAAGCTGATTTTTTTTTTGGACCCATTCACCTTGGAAGTAAGAGTGAAACACTGAAATTATTGACAACAGTGGGGATTTTCTGACCCTACCTTCCCAAGACTGATGAATGCCGTTATTGATCATCCCAAGTGGATAACTGCCAAATCTTGCTGTTCCTTGTACCTTGTGGACGCAACTTAAAGGCAATGCAATTCAGCCTCAACCATTTACTCTCTTTGGGAGTGCCTGATCAGAATTAATAAAAGCGAAAATGGCGGTGATTTTAAAGGACATCCTGATTCTGACCCCTTATGCGTAGTGACTTCACCCAGTTCCACATAGCTGCTGCTGTGGCTGCTAGGAGTTCCCGGGGTGCCTGCAGTAATGAATAGAGAAGATGATTTGCAATTAGCCTGAGCTGTCGCTGGCATGTAGATGCTAGAAGTGTTTGTATGGTTTATTCTCCTGAGTTTTTTACATGGTTCCCCACCCTGGCTCTGTCTTCTCTTCTCCCAAGTCTGGGTGAGGCTGTTAATTAGTTCTTTCCAGAATGAAAAGGTTTGTTTGCTGGGGCAAGGGTAAACACTAACACTGCTGGAGGGACCAAGTTTAATTTGGAGAGTGTGGACAAGTGCAAACTCTTAAGAGGGCGAGAGCTGCACAGCCGACCATTTCATTGCATTAATAGTTATCAGCAGGGTTTGACAAGATCCAGACCTAGCCGAGTGCCTCCTAGTGTTAATGAAAATAGAACCAAGCTCTGAAACCAAAATCTCCCTGCTAGAAAGGACCTCAAAGGGCAGATGGTCAAGGCTCCCACTCTAGCAGGCCTTTCTCTAACCCAGTCTGACTTGAATTCCTCAAGCCACAGGGAACTCACCACCTCCCAGAGTTGCCTCATATGTTGCTAGGTATCCTGATTAAATTTTCCTTTCTGACTGAGGCAAAAGCTGTCTCCTAATATCCCTATCCTGCTCATGCTGGCTCTCCCCTCTCAAGCCAGGCAAGTGAGCTCATTTCCTCTTTTGTTTGACAGCCCTTCAGAAATCAAAATTTGCTTCTGTAGAATCACTGAATTTTACAGCTGGAAGGGAACTTCAGACATTTGGTCCTGTTTCAGAGGAGGAAACTTAGGCACAGAGAGGGAAAGGGATTTTAAGATAGTTCAGCAATTTAATGGAAAAAGTAGTGCTAGGACTCAAATGTACTGACACCTGGTTCAGACATTCTTAGTGAATTACACTGAGGGGTGCCAGATATGATTGTGCAGGCTGTGCACTGCACAGCTTCAGGGCTGCATTCACACTACTCCCCTGGGGTTGTCCAGTGTACAGGTTGCTTGGCCATATGTAGAGTCCCTGTTGCCTTGATCTGTGCTTTGTCCAGAAACCAAAAAATGTCCCTTCACCCAAATTAACACGACAATAAGGGGAAAACACCCAAGAAAACAGTGCTGCGGTGTCTGACATCCTCTTGAATATCAGTCAGTGAGCAAAGTTTTCTTCTGTTTTCCTGCATGAAACAGATAGGTGCAAAGGGGGAGAAAAATCCTTGCTTTGAGCTGGAACAGGTCTGGGCAAGGGACGTTTCGAACACCTCAGGTTGAGAGGCATGGGGGACTGCCATGGGGGTGAGGTCCTAGGATGTCTTTGCCTGAGCAGGGGCTTTGAGAATTGATGGCTGGGGTGTTGCTCTCTCAGACACCTGCCCAGGGGTGCTTCAGGTTGAGCAGGACAGGAAGGGATGAGAAGGTAGGGAGGCAGTTTCTCCTCCTTCTGCTCCTTGTCTTGCCCCACCCCTTGCTTCAGTGCGAGGATCTGGGGGAAAAGCCAAAATAATATCAGCAGCACTGGAAGGGTGCAGGATAGTCTATTGGGAGATGTGAGTTCAAAGCCTGCTCATTCGTTGACTTGCTGTGGGATCTTGGAAAAGGCTAGGCCACAGTTTGCTCATCTGTAAAATGGTAGATTGGAGCAGATCTATATTTCTCAAAGGTTTGCCTTTCCTGCACCACTTTTACCATCTCTGTTATACCACCTATACTATCACTTACTGTTTTTCTTCCAATCAGTCTTTCTTTAAAAATATTTGGAAAGGAAATTTTATATCACTGTTGGGAAATGAAAAAACACTATTGGTTGCCATAAATAGAAGGCAATTGTACAAATAAGATACTAAGGAAAGGAAATTAACGGGTAAATTCTAGCTTGAGGTTATTACTTGCCAAAGCTGGAGCTGGAAGCCTGGTCCCTTTGTTAAACAGGGAGAGGTGTTAAAGACATCCTGGCACCACACAGAGACTTTCTCCTTGGCGTAGTCAGGATTCAAAAGGACTGAAAAGGGAATAACTCTCTCTCTCATGGTGTGATTCACTGTTATTTAAATCCAAGTCCTTTTTCCACTAAAAGTACCTCCCTTCAAGAAACATGTGAAGTATATAATAGAATTCAGAGGGCCCTTAGAGAACCCTAAATCAGAGTAGCAGCTCAGGGTCTAATGGATGATTGTAAAGTTTCTTCTGTGTAGTAACTTCCACTGAGATTTATATACCCAGATAATAACATTTTAGGGGCTACAATAATCTTATTAACAATTTTCTGTCTTGTAAAATAAAATTGTGTACATTGTTATTTATGTACGTTTCCCCCATGGTATACAGTGTTTTCATTGTCTTTTAGTTTAAAGCATATCCCCAGAACATTCTTTTTTTTGTCCCCCCTGAATTGACCCTCGTGAAAAAGAAAAAATAGACCACTGATCTCGTCCAACATATACTTTTCAAATAGGCGGTTCCATGTCTTCAGTCAGTGCTCTCTGACTGGCGGGGTGTGGAGGGCATAGTCTGAGTATTCCATGGCCCCTCGGTATGTTGGTTGTATGCTAGGAGCTTAATAAATGTATGTTAAAAAAATAAAACAAACTAAATAAACGAATGTATGTTGATGATGAGGGGTTTTATGTTTCCAGGGATTTTATGATTCCATGTGAGTTGGTGATTTTGAGCTTCACAGGGTCAAAGAGTTATCATTTATTAAGTATATATCTTCAGCAACACAGCACTAGGTGCTTTGTATACACTTAATAATCACCCATTTGATGCAAAGTACTATAAGACTGGTTTGTCCTAAGTGTCTCATTTTTATTTTATTTTATTTTATTTTATTTTATTTTATTTTATTTTATTTTATGAGAGTGCAAGTGCGAGCTGGGGGAGGGGTGGGGGGGGAGAGAGAGAGAGAGAGAGAGAGAAAGAGATCTTAAGCAGGCTCCATGCCCAGCGCAGAGCCAGATGTCGGGCTCAATCCCACAGCTCTGGAATCTCGACCTAAGCTGAAATCAAGAGTTGGATGCTTTACTTCTGAGCCACTCAGCACCTCCTAAGTGTCTCATTTAAATCCCTGTAATTGTATATTTGTTTTTGGCATGATGATGAATCTATTTTATTTTATTTTTTTTAAATATTTTTTAATGTTTTATTTTTTTCTGAGAGAGACAGCGTGAGCAGGGGAGAGTCAGAGAGAGAGGGAGACACAGAATCTGAAGCAGTCTCCAGGCTCTGAACTAGCTGTCAGCACAGAACCTGACACAGGGCTCGAACCCACAAACCGTGAGATCATGACCTAAGCTGAAGTTGGATGCTCAACCAGCTGAGCCACCCACGCGCCCTGATGATGAATCTATTTTAATCACTCAGCATTATACATCAACGTGGATCCCTGATGTTCCTTTTCCCCATTTCATTATGAAAATATTCAAACATACAGAAGAGTTGAAAGAGTTTTTACAGTGAAGATTCATTTTCCCACCGCTTAGATTTACCATTACCATATTGCCACACTGGCTTTTTCTCATCTTTTTCTTTCTTTGTTCTCTCCAGCTGTAATGATCAGTCCCCATATTGTTCTTGATGCATTTATGGTGGCTTTTTTTGTTTACAGGTGATGACCCTGGAACCCAGGGGGAGCACAGTGGCTAAGTTTGTGGGCCGCCTGGGGTTTCAGTGTACTCCACCCCTTACTAACAGTGTGACCAAGGCAAAGTATTTCCCTCTCTGCACCTTGGTTTATCTGTAATAGGTGATGATAATAGTCCCTGCCCTATAACGTTGTTAAAACTAAATGAGTTAATATTGTACATAGTGAAATGATTTGTGAATATTAGCTGTCATTCAGTAACATGGTCAGGGTCACATAGTGGTGGATGCAGGATTTGAATTTGATTCTAGGGGTGTGGGTGGAGAATCCGTTCCCTTTCACTGTGGGGATGTCTCTGTCTCTCCCTCTCTCTCCCATATGGAGGTTCTTCTGCATGAGTTTGACTCAGTGTTCAGGACACTACATCAGTAAAACTGGGACCATGAACTTGTAAGCTTCAGCTGTGGGGTGTGGTATCAGCATTACCTCTGACTTCCTCCTGGGCTGGGGTCAGGGCTACAGACAACAGCCCAGGGGATAATGATTTGGAGTCTTTAGGAGCC